TTTGACTAGGTTATTTTTAAAAGTACCCCTAAGTTTTTGGGCTTCTGCAATTTGAACCATTTATTTGAAAAAAAAAAAAAATCTTTTTTCAACACTTGACGAACGTTGCAAAAAGAAGGTCTTTTGCAACGGTTGACAAACGTTGCGAAAAGTCTTACCTTTCGCAACATTTATCACGTTTGATAAACATTGTGATGAACGTTGCGAAAGATAAAACATTCCGCAACACTCAATAAACGTTACTAAAAGTGTCTACCATAACATTTTTTCTAAAAAACGTTGCCAAAACTCATTTATTAATACAAATGGTAACATTCGCTAACTAAAATGTTGCCAAAATACCATTTTGGCAAGTCAACAGATGTTGCATTTTTAGTGTTGTAAATGACTATTTTTGTTGTAGTGGTATCATCTAACTCAACACCTTCAGTAACATATTTTTAATTATGGACAACATGCGATCATTACACGTTGTAGAGATATTAAAATCAGGCTTACAAGTCAAAATTGTGATATCGTTGAAATTTTAGTGTGCTTTGTTTAATCAGGATGTAGAATCCAAAAAAATAAGGAGCAAGAAAACCATACTAGGCCTAGACCAGAAATTATAGGTTCATCAGCCTCTCGAAGTAGTCTAAACAAATTTGCAGCTCTCGGATTTGAGTCATGTTCTTCTAGAGCAAAATATTGCTACATCAAAAAAGTATTGTACATATTATGGCCTATAACATTCATCACCATTGTTTTATTTGACATTCAGTTTGTCCTTGTGTAGTTGAGAATTCAATCGAATTAAATCGACTATTGTGTTGTTCTCCATTTGCATACCATTGATTATAATCATCAGTAACTCCTTTGTAGCATAATTGAAGTTTTACATCATCTTGCATATGGAACTCTTTATTGGCACATTTATGGCAAGGGCATCTAATCTTATCAAATACTCTTAACTGTGAATACGTAAATTAGATAAAGTCTTCAACTCCCGTTAGAAATTCCTTTGTAAGAAATCCCTTATGCACTAGTCACTATATCCAACTACGATCAGATGACATACTGCTAATAACTAAAGTCAAAAAGTTAGACATGACATTGGTTTGTTACCAAAATATAGCAAATATGAGTTAAATGTTTCATTGGCCACCGAACTTTGTATCGTGTCACGGCTTACTCACCGAACTTCCAAAATTGTCCCATTAACCATTGAACTTTACTCTGTTGATGTCCATTACTCACTGGATGGAATATGTTATTAGATGTGCTGATGTGGCAAGCGGAATGGTTAGTTAATTGTCTCCAAATGTGAAGTTAATTTTCATTTTATTGAACGTTGGTGAACATTTATCTTTTGAATATCAATTGAAGTATTTATTTCAAAATGTTAGTCAGTTGTGCGTGGTTGGTGTATGTTGATTGTGTAAACTAAACGCAGTTCCTAGATGATTCGTTCCTATATTTTAACAAAATCGTCATTTGCTGAATTTCGACAGAAACTGCATTCAAATCTGATATGTATAGAAGTTGTTATGCCCAAACTCGGCCTTATGGGCCCGATCTTAACCGACCATTATTGGGCCGATAGTAAGGTCGGGTCTTGGATTGAGGTCGGGTCGGATATTGAGGTCAAATCTTATCCCTAACTCACCCATCTTCTTGACCTTATCGCACTTTTCCTAGGAATGCTAATCTTATCTTAATACAAACCCCAAACTTATTACAAATTCGATTCTAACCCAAACACCTTGTATAAAAGGAAAAGTACCACAGTTAGTTGAGTCCTTGGACTCAACCCCTAACATCTATAACTACATGACCTAGCATCATTATTCAGGTACGTTTTTTAGTAATATTCCGTATACAATATCTTGTGTAATTCCACTTTATGACTTAAGTATCGGAGGGGCGACGAGGACACACCTCGACGCCTTTGTTTCAGATATTGAAGATCAGATCGTGCGAAGTTCAACCATCCAGTTCGAGTTCATCTAGATACGAATTTTTGGTAGCATCAAAATCCATTCACAGAATTTGCATTTTGAGCTCAAAAAACAATACTACATTTCGACAAAAGCATCATTTGCTTGCAAAAAAAATCTACTTCAATACATGTCAGCCATCAATATTACAAAATCAAGGAAATAAGAAGTATACTCCATGAAGATCTAAAAAGCTCCGACAAACATTTACACCACAATATTTTTCTGCTCTCACAATGTCCACCTTATTTCTAATCTCCGAGCCAATTACGCCCTCCGCATCTTCTCGTGTTACCGGTTTGTTATTTGAGTTTGGTAGCAGCATCCTGCAAATCAAGCTAACCTTCAACTGCATATATAAATAATTATGTGGATATATATAATTGTAAAAATTAGAAAAATTAATACTAGATATGTTTGCATGTCATCCTACTCGGTGCCAAATGCAAGTTTAAACCCAGGTTCTTTCTCTCTCCTACAAGACAACCCAATCACAAAATAGTATTAGTTTTAATGTCTAATACATTACAATCTCACTTAGAATAGACAGGAGATGGCATCAAAATTTGCTTTTACTTGCTGTCAATTGAGCTAACAATTGCGTGACTTAGCACCATTAGAACAGATATTTAGCAAAAAATAATTCCATCAATTTAAGACAGGTTTCTGACATTAGTATCCACAGTAGAATCTGACTTGCAAACCAAAAATATTATGTTTGTACTCTCTATATATAAGACAACATAAAACATAGACAAAAAACTCTAAAATGTGCACTTTTTCCAAATTCATCAAAATTCGACTAAAAAAAGTAACTGTACAATCACGTTGCCCAAAATCATCAGCAGAAAGTTCCTCGGTCTTCACCCAAACGGAACAAAAATTGCATTTCGTACTAGCTAAATCACAAATCCAATTGAAGTTTCAAATTACACGAATTGCGCACACAAAAAAATAAAATAAAAAATAAAAAAATTGTTGATAAAAGTCAATGCACTCTTATCAATTTTCGAAAAAGCCGAAGAGGGTGTTGAAATCAAATATGCATATTGATAGAGGAAAGGAGAGAGACGAGAGAAATTGAATTGATTCAATTGAAAAATTTAATTCTTCTAGTAGAAATGGAAAGGGGGCCAAATATATACACAAAGCCAACGAACATAGTAAAAGACAGAAATAACCCTCAACAAATATTAATATCTCAACACTCCCCCTCAAGATGGCAAGTGTATACTAATCTCAACAAACTAAACTTATTGGAAAGTATGAAAAGACATAAATACCCTTCAGACTATTTTACAATTCAAGACTCCCCCTCAAGATGGCAAGTGTATATTTAGCACTCCTATCTTGTTAAGAAGTTAAGCAAGCCTTGTTCCAGTTAAAGCTTTAGTCAGCAGGTTTGCCAATTGCAGCTGAGAAATCGTGTACAACATTTTAACTTCATTGGCTTGAACTTTATCTTGCACCAAATGGCAATCTATCTCTATGTACTTGGTTCTTTCGTGGAAGACAGGGTTGCTGGCAATGTGAATTGCGAACTGATTATCACAAAATAATAATGCTGGTCTGGTATGATCAATTCCCAAGTCATTTACTATATTCTTCAACCATGTGAACTCACAGACCGCTGCCGCTATTGATCTATATTCAGTCTCAGCTGAAGACCTTGATACGGTGTGTTGCTTCTTAGATTCCATGACACCAAAGAATTTCCCAAAAAGATACAATACCCTGTGGTCGACCTTCGTGTATCTGAACACGCCGCCCAGTCAACATCACAATATCCCT